CCTCCGGAAGAACCCACCCTGGGCTTGGACACCCCTCCACGAGGACGCCTTCCGCGCCCTCAAGAAGGCGGTGACATGCGCACCGGTTCTTCACCTACCCGATTTCGATCGCCCTTTTATCCTTACCACCGATGCGTCAGACTTTGCTGTAGGAGCAGTGCTTTCTCAGGTCTTCCCCTCCTCTCCTGATTCCTCTCATCCTCGTGTCCCTCGCTTCCCACCACCTACCCCTACCACCGCTTCCCGACTGACGCCTACTTGTCCAGCTACTGACGAGCCTTTTATTGACTATTCTCCTACCATCGTCGAGGACAGCATTGTCGAGTCTCGCTCAGGTGATTGTCCGATAGCCTTCTACTCCCGTCAGCTCCTGCCCGCCGAGATAAACTACACTGCTGATGAACGTGAGGTTCTCGCAGTAGTTTATGCCGCTCGGCACTGGCGTCACTACCTGCACGAGGCACCGTTCACGGTGCGTACGGATAACTCTGTTGTCCAGGCTTTTCTGACAAAACCGAAGCTCACTCCTCGACACACTCGTTGGTGGCGCGACCTATCCGAGTTTAGTTTCACCACTGAGCACATCAAGGGTGAGACTAATCGGGTCGCAGATGCCCTATCCCGGCGCCCTGACCACGACCAGGAGCACATCCAGCTCTCTTCCATCTCGGTCACCACCGTCCACCACTCGGTGATCGACGAGTTTCGCACTCAGTACCGCCACTGCCCCAACTATCGTGACATCCACGCGACCCTTCGGAGTGGCAAGACCGTCCCGAACTACTCTCTCGGGGACAATGGTCTTGTGTACTGGCACGGTTCACAGAGCACCAGAGAGCCCCGTATTTGCATTCCCTGTCCGAGCAGTAGCAGAGTTCCATGACCAGGCAGCCGTCGGTCATATGGGCTTCCACAAGACGTTGGCTCGTGTGAGCCGCCTGTACGTCTGGCCGAAGCGCAAGGACTTTGTGAAGGACTACGTCGCAGAGTGTCCCACTTGTCAGGAGGTGAACAGTGCGAACCACCTACCTTATGGTTTGCTTCAGCCTCTTCCTATCCCTGAGGGTCGTTGGCAGTCCATCTCGATGGACTTTATCGGTCCTCTTTGACCTCCGACCCCCCGCGGTCATGATGCTATCCTGGTCGTCATCGACCGCTTCACGAAGCGTGCACGCTCTGTTCCGTGCCGCTATGCYATCAGTGCACGTGAGGTCGCCGACATCGTGTTTGACCGAGTCGTGCGTGACCACGGCTTACCTCTCAGCATCATATCTGACTGTGACCCGCGCTTTACCAGCCGATTCTGGCGACGGCTCCACGAGGTATACGGCACTCAGCTCCGCTTCTCCTCGTCTTACCATCCTCAGACTGATGGTCAGACCAAGATCACGAACAGGACGCTTCTCCTCGTCTTACCATCCTCAGACTGATGGTCAGACCAAGATCACGAACAGGACTCTCGGAGATATTCTCCGAAAGATTGTTCGTGACGACCAGCAGTGGGACCTCCATCTTGCCCACGCGGAGATAGCCTACAACCACGCCGTCTCGCCAACCACAGGGATGTCGCCTTACTATTACGACCTCGGCTATTACCCTCGTGTTCCCGCGGACTTCCTTCGACCGTCACAGATGCACCCCGACACGAGTTGTCCCACGCTGGATGATTGGGTTGCACACATGACGTCGATTATGAAGACCGCACATGAGCACATAGCCGCTTCCCAGACTCGCATGGCAGCACGTGCGAACCGATCGAGGATGGATCATCCATTCAAAGTCGGTGATGATGTGCTTATCGACGCCCGCCACTTACAGCTCGAAGCGGATACGCTTCGCAAGTTTCGGCGTCGCTTCTTTGGTCCATGCCGCATCCTCCAGGCCGTCGGTTCTGATACGGAGTCTAGCCCGGTCAGCTTCCGTGTGAAGCTGACCGACTACCTACGCCAGGCTCGTGTGCACGATGTCTGCCACGTCTCGTTACTGCGTCCTTACCGCAGACCGTCTGAGCGTTTCGTCGGACGACCATACGAGCGCCCTCCACTTATCATGGTGGACGGTCACGAGGAGTTCCTCGTTTCAGACATCATTGGTCGCCGAGTCACCGACGACAACCCGCCCCACGTCGAGTATCTCGTACGTTGGAAGGGTTACCCTGATGAGGAGACTACCTGAGAGCCCCTCGAGCACTTGCAGCACGCTCGCATGTTGGTGCGTGCCTATGACCGTGCTCGTCGTGCTGGGTTCACTGCTCCTCCTCAGCCCACTGACCCTCCTCCTTCTCCTCCGGCTGAGGAGACCGCTGAAGTCGAGCCTGCTCCATCTGAGGCAGACCTTCAGTAGCAGCCGGATGCTTCTGAGCATCCACAGCGCACTCGTCGTCGTCCTGCTCGATACTACGATTGACTCTGACTTACCTTCCCACGTCTGTGACTTCTCAGTACTCCATCCACATCAGTTTTGCTACTTCAGCTCGTCGACGCTGCGGCTCTTCCTCGACGACATTCCGGACTTCTCATCGTGGACGTCATCGGCAGCTTCATGGACTTCATCACGATCAGCTCTGCCTACTTCAGACGTCGCCACTCTCTTACCACTCTACCCTGTA